TTTTTTTTTTTTTTTTTGGGTTTCTTTGAATATGTAAGGGGTGGGGAACCAAGATTTGAAACCTAGACCTTGGCGGGTGAAATGCTTCTCTTTGCCAAGAGCACAAAGTTGAACCCAGATCTTAGTGGACACGTTACTTGTTTCTCACAAAGTTGAAATTTATGGTTTGTATAATTTTGCATGTGCCTGTGAAAAGCCATAATTGATGAAAGAGTCTGCTGATTTTGATTTGCAATGGTATGCCATGCTTATGCAAGGATTTTGGGTTAGATTAGTTCTTCTTCATAAGGATGCCACCAAAATTAACATTTCATCTGCAAGATTAGGTTAGACTAATTCCTTCTCTATAAAGTATTCAATTCAAACTCATTAATTGGAATTTAAATGTTCATAAAGACCTCCTGGTGTGGAAAATAGAACCCTGATCTGGGCTATACTTTAAGAAGTTTTTGCTTCTAACACAATTCAGATATATTGTGTATTTCTATTTCAAATCCATCAGTAATTGCAAGTGCATTATTGTTAGTTGTTTATATTAGTTGCATTTTCTATGATATGTTTGCCATATATCATAGGCGGCATCTTCTTTGTCAATTTTTATAGATTTTCTCCAAGGCCCTCAGGTTAATCTAGCTACAAAGAACTGGAATGGAGAGATCTTATAACCAATTAGAAAAAAACTGTGCAGCTCAGCTACACAAAGTGGTTTGCTTCACGTTTTTTTTCCCAGTTTTTAGGTTTGGGATAAGATATGCTTATTACAATAATAAAATATATAGTTTCTTTCAATTCATGTAAAGAGAAAACATGTAGAGGATAATTAACAATGTTCGTATCTGCTTGAACTTGATGTTAATTATCTAAACTGCAAGGTATCACACCTCGCTGTGCACGGATAATTAATAATGGGTTTTAGAGTATTTATTACTGGCAATTCATTATAATACAATGGTGACGTGAAATAAAATAATGATGCTGGACCAAATGGTTAATAATTTTTGGGACCAACTTAGTCCTTCCTTAACTGAATCAACAGTTGTTACGCTAAATTGTTAGAAAATTGGATGCTTTTTTTTATAAAAAATAATAATGCGAAAAAAATGGTAATGTTGCTTTTTTCTTTTTTACATGGTTTTTTAACTAAAATTTATCTTTAACTGTAATCTTTACACTTATATTACTTTTTATATACATTTTATAAACACTATAGACCTTAAATCTAATCTCAACCTCTAAGTCATCACGATCTCCACATCTTGGCTCAATGGCCACAACTTTGGTTAAAGTGGAGATCACCTCCTGATGACAAGAAATATGATTGGTTGGCTTTCCTTTTAAGTTCAGGTTGTATTTTTAAATATAATTGTCTTTCTATATTTTATATTTTTTAATTTATAGAATCTAATTCTTTGATCTTGTCTTATTATTCAGTTGGTTTCTCTGGCACAAGCAGTACATGAAATGGTATGTTGAAGCTTTCAATTTATTAATCACGTTGAAGGTTCTATAAACATATAAATT